CTGCGCCATTATTGCAATCGAAGTAAGTTCCCTAATTGATTGTTTCTGAACGAGATAAAGTGTATTTGAAAAAGTCTTCAAACATACGTAAGTTCTTTTTTCAGGCCTGTCCATCAAAAGGACCTCCCGGTGCCCCAGGTCTGCCAGGACGAGATGGACGAAAGGGAAGTCCAGGAAAAAAAGGGCAACGGGGAGCTGAAGGAGAAGAAGGAGATCGTGGAGCAGCAGGAGTCACAGGGTATCAAGGTGATCCAGGTCCTCCGGGAGATGCGGGAGAGCAGGGAGACAAAGGGAGAGCTGGATTGCCAGGTCAGAGAGGGTCGAATGCAGGAAGATAGAAAGCAACAAGCCAGAAATTATGTCGAGACATTGGACTAGCCTCTCTCTCTCTCTTTTCTTTGCATTGTTTGCACCAATCTATCGAGCTCTCTCCAGAAATATTCCATTTATATTGAAATTTCGTTATGAATAATTTGCATTTCATGTGGACGTGTTACTTTAACCGATCCCACTATTTCAACTACAATAAAAGAATTAAAATGCTAGATGGAAGCACACTTTTTCCTCATATGCTGGCTTAATTTCACCTTTCTTCCGTCAAATGTTCCCCGGTTTTTCGACAAGACCGGTTTCATCATCGGATGCCTCCGTGTGTGATCTGGCCATCTAACAGGGCCAGCATGTTTGTCCACGAAAGACGATATCTAATTTTCTCCTATTACGATTACGATTCTTGACAATACAACAATTTTATTCATACATAACAAAGTCTTCCAGGGGCTTCAGAAAAATAAATTCTCTGCAAATAATAAACACCAGTTAGGTTTTCAAATAATCCTTATTTCTGAAGGTCCAATACCCGTTTTTCCATTGATCTTCTTGGATTCACTATCAACCACTGATCTCCTATCAGTGAATCGAATCTTCTTTTCGTTCATTTTAAATCACCCAATAAAAAGGCATCATCGATACGTCAGTGGTCATTCATCATCGCATTTTGTTGCATTCCACGCAACCATTCTGCAAAGAACTCTGAAAATGTTTCTTTGTTTCGTGAATTCCGGAAAGAATCGTATCAGACATCAAACTTC